GTCTATCTTCACATTTATTTCTATAAAAATAGCTTTTATTTTTTAGCGATTGGTGGAATGCTAAGGATATGGCGGACTAAAATGAAAAACAATACTTTTCACCATCCCGATAACGGCGAACTTATTCGATTTATTGAAGAATGTCGTTCTTGATTTTAATTTAAATGATGAACTAATGCCTTAAACGTTTGCCGAGGAATTTATAGTGCACAGTCACTACAGACCATTCTCCAATAGATTCGACGAACTCTGCTTCATTGTCTTGCAGTAGCGAAACAGAAAACAGTCAGAGATGATAAAGATATAATAATCAAACGTGTGAATGAATGGTAGAAATGATTACGTTTAATATTACCCCAGTTAGTTGTTCCAGCCCGCCCAGTCACATCGAAACTTATTTCAAGTAAAACTTGAAGAATTTTAGAAGCTGCTTGACGACTCACTGGATGGATAATATTTTCATGAGGTTGCATTAAATGTTTGTTTTTATTCCTGAAATGTTTTATTCATTTAACTCTGTTATTGCAGTGTGATTCGATCACTGTGTTTTTATATTTTGTTTCTTCCACAGTTTACGAACCAAAATACTTCCAGAGCTCTGAAACATCCTAAATTGAACAGAAAAGTGTGTTCAGTATTTTGAGATGTTCCTACACTCTACCCATACTTCTGTTTAGGAAATATTACAGAAACATAAAGTACTACTTTTCAAAACTTATCCGAAAAAGTAGTAGTTTGTATTTTTGCAATATTTCCTAAACAAAAGTATGGGTAGACTGTGAGAACATCTCAAAATATTGAGCGCACTTTTCTCTTCAATTTAGGATGTTTCAGAGCTCTGAAAGTATTTTGGTTCGAAAATTGTAGGAGAAACAAAATATAAAAATACCATGACGAATCACAGCGCAGTAACAGAGCTACATGGCCAAGCCGCGTAGTTGTTTTATGGCTGAGCTCAAAAATAAATAGATTGATCGAAGCACGTGTTGTACTGAGTTACCTAATACGTGAATGAATCAGTTCATTGTTTTGTTCTTATTTTTCAGAGACAATTTATGATTGAAAGTGATTAGATTTATTCTGTAGTCTCTCTAGTGGTGCCAAACATGCAATATGATGTATGAATGCGGACAATGAGAATATTGTTTTATTGGTTTCGCGAGTTATCCATAAACTGAGCATATGTGAATTGATTTCAAGAGTGAGAAAAAACACTACTTGTCTAGGGTAAGTGTATTTTGAAAACAATGAATATTGATGACATGTATTGGAAATTAAAAGTTCGTTATTGTTTCTACCTATTAAGCTATTAAAATTCTTTATCAATATGTGTCTTGTCACTGAAGATTGAACTTAAATGAACATTGAACAGAAAAACTGAATTTAGATAATAAACACAAGCTTACTTTTATGGGAAGAGACTTAACTACTATTAGACGAATTTATCAAAGATTATGAATAACGTATAGTCTGATATTTTTCAGTTAAGAGACCATATATTTGTCAGATAAATGATAGGAGATGGAGAATTTATCACAAACAGTCTAGACATAACCGATAAGTGATCGTTTCCTAAGAAATTTGAGCAAACTACGAACTATAAAAACAACTATTAAATGGACGGTAACGAATGAGTAACAAAAAGTTAGTTTTTTTGCATACCTATTATCATAATTGAAATGAATTAATTTTAATCAGATATTTTTTGCATTGAAACAGTCAAATATACGTTATCAAATTCATTTATCGTTTAATATAGCTTATCTTGTATTATTTTTGGTACGTCTATTTTCAGAAAACTTTTTAAAGTTCTTCTAATCATTTTATCGTACGAATATCAGGTGGTTTTCTAGACAGATACGCTGCCTGCACACCACATTTAAAACTTGAGGGTTAACTCAGTTGCATTCTATTTAAAGAGTCACTATTACATACGAAAAATATTCATCTAAGAATTAATGTACAAATCAATTATGTTGAACATAATCTCTATAATAATAGTCTTGAAGATATAACATGATGGCAATTGGTTGTAACAATATCAATGAAATCCACATAGCTATATTACCATAACGTGTTCCATATCTCATATATTGAACAAGCAAAGTCATCGGTACTTGAACTAACATGGCAATAAAACTCCACATACGAAACATCCTCAATGGAACACTAATAAGATATTCGTGAAAAAATGCGCTTATTAAGAATACGATAAACGATGCCTTTGTTTTCGATACACCACAATCTTTGATCAAAGGTTTATAAATATGACGTTTACACCAAGTATGAACAGGAATATTCCATTTCTTCCAAAAATCTGCTATATCCTCAGCATTCCACCAATCGCTAAAAAATAAAAGCTATTTTTATAGAAATAAATGTGAAGATAGACGTTTATGACTATTATCGAAATTTTAAAAGGAGGCTATCCGGCAGAATGCTTATACCTTTTTAACGAATATAGCTAGCGACCTGCGGTTTTCACTATTTGCAAGAGAAGACCTGAGGACGTAAATATGTAGAAAATTTGATTGATCCCGCAATCGACCAATCAGGTGAGTGCTTGGTAGACATTTTGAAATCGATATTCTGAAGACATTTCCCGTTTGCTTTTAGCTTGTAATATCACACACTTAACACATATTAAGATTTTCGAAATATCCACTCCGCACACCATTTAGTAGGAAAAAGTTGAATTTTTAAAAATCTCAACATAATAACTTTATCTTGCTTTGAAACTGAAAACAGACATTGCCATTGGACTCAGCGTGGCCGATTACCACTATGTCGACCTATTTTGCGATGATTCAAGGTCAAATAGCCGAAATCGGGGCTCCTAGGAAAACGCTTATAGCACCTGAAAGGAACGAACAAGGAAGGTCGACCTTGTGTAGATTGAAAGAGAAAACATTTCTCTATCGAGTGGTGATATTACAAGCTAAAAGCAAATGGGAAATGTCTTCAGAATATCGATTTCAAAATGTCTACCAAGCACTCACCTGATTGGTTGATTGCGGGACCAATCAAATTTTCTACATATTTACGTCCTCAGGTCTTCTCTTTCAAATAGTAAAAACCGCAGGTCGCTAGCTATATTCGTTAAAAAGGTATAAGCATTCTGCCGGATAGCCTCGTTTTAAAATTTCGATAATAGAT